AAAACACATGGAAGTTAAGCCATGATGGACTGTAATACCTATATTTAGTGCATGATTTATGGTTTTATTTATAGACAACAAGGTCAGATAATCTGACTTTTAAAAGTTATTTAAACTAGTTTTTATTATATTTCTTCTTCTTTATTTATGTTGTATTGAAATGCATAAGCAGCATTCTCTGGCTTATATTAATTTGTTGTATCTTGGGATGGCACAATAGCTAAATTGTTTGAAAGTTAAAAAGTGGCCTACTGTTTGTGTAGTAAGAAAGAGCTTTCATCACTAGTTCAATCAAAGAGTGAATGTGATGCTGCAAAGCCCTCCGGCCTGTGTAGACTGGACCCAGTTTACTGTGGTGACAGCTTGCCAAAGTCTGTTCATGTCTTCTTGAGAATAATATGATACAAATAGCCCTGCAACATAAAGTTACAAAACGAAATTGTTTTCCAGCATTGTTGCATACAATTGCAACATTACAAGATATTTCCTGCCAAAGCCCCCAAAGATCTGATGTAACATATCAAGAAGGAAAATGCATCGACTGTGTTGTACACTGTGATAAGCCTCCAGATAAACAAGAACGCAGTAGAGCGCTTTTAAATAAACAGCTAACAAGATAACACAAAATAATTACAAACGGCTAATTGTGATCACATGATCGACTACAGGGAAATGAATGAACAGATAATGACATGCACACAAACTGTTTTCCTTGTGTCCCCATGCGCGCACGCACACACACACACACACACACACACACACACACACACACACACACACACACACACACACACACACACACACACACACACACACACACAGGCAGAGCAGCACACATCAGTTCAGTTTCATTGATCTGTGTGAGAGGAACACTGTCGCTCCTCACTAATCCAATCATGTGGTTCCAATGGCCAGCGGCAGTTCATTACACTCACATTTGGACTCTTGAAATGTGTTTAGAAATGATCAGTAGTCCACAATTGTTCTATGAATCTAATTATACACGACACTGATTGTGCTAATATACAGGTCAACAATAAGATGGAAATATGTGTGGACAGCCTCCTCTTTGTCTTGCACCCTTTCGGTGCCCTGTTAAAGTGGCTTTCCAATTAGCAGGCTGCTCCACACAGCCAGCAGGCCTTAAAGACACACATTTGAATGAAAAGGGCTGCAGCGATGCATTTGGAGGATTAAAACTGATGCAAAGTGTACGGTAAAGTTAATGACATCATTGTTATGGAGCATGAACACGAGCCCTGCTTACCCTCTGACAATGATGAGGAAGTTTGTGCTGAGTAATGCTTAACCATCTCACTTGAACAACAAATCTGCCGTCTGGGAATAATAAAATCAGAAACCCAAACGCTTTGAAATAAATAAAGAATTGACTGTGTTGTACAAATAATCCTGACTCAATGGCACAAAGCAGTATCTGTAGTGTGTGTGAGAAATGGCACAAAGAAACTTTATTTTTGATTTGGTCTTTTTCTGCATTTCTCTCACTGACTGGATGTCTGAGGGATATTCATCGTGAGTCTGTTTCGTGTTCGATGGTCATTTGGTGTCAGAGAGAAGAAGATGGGTAGATTTGACAAACTTTGGCACTCACAGCCGAGGCCTATAACTCCTCTCTATGGATGCTCCATTGCCTTAAACTTGACACATCATATACCGGTGCTCACAGTAAAGTTATCACCTCGTAGGCGGTTGCCAAATTGTTCTACATATCTTTTGTTTACGGCATAAAAGACAACCCCTGAGCTCTTGAGAGATTTCCTCACTCATAAGTGTCTCTCAGTCTGAAGCATTTTCAGCGCTTGCATCACTGTACAATTTGTTGATTGATTCATTGATTTTCCTTTCTTCAAACCCAGGGGCTGTTAGGGACGGGGGAGAATTGCCTGTGACTATTTATGGCCTCAATTGGGTGAATGTGTTATAGAGTCGATTTACATTTGAAATTGAAACATTACCATAACTTTCAACAGATCTATCAACAGACTATAAACTCACAATAAACACAGACGCATTAAAGACGTCACCGTAGTGTATGTTTTTTTGTTGACGTGGCGCCCACTCACTCTCTCCTGCCAGTCCACCTCGACATCGATCCGGCCTGCTATTCCCGCTGCAGGTGTCTCACTGAGGCTTAAAATACACAGCAAGACAAAAACTTGAATCGACTTGCCTTGTTTTTTCAAAAGTTAACCTCGGTTACACTTCAGTCTGCAACCCTTTGAAGCGCTCGCACAAACATTCAGACTTACTGGGTATCAACCTTGAGGTTCATTTGGGAACTGCTCTGGAGCTTTTCACATGGACTCCATTAGCAGATGTCATGGAATGGTAGATATAGGAGATACGATATATGTTTTTCGAGGCTGTTTATTTTGGCCATGTTCTGCCTTTTCTAGATACAGTAGAGGGTTGAAAGGAAACAAAGCTACTGGAGCACAATTATTGATTTACAACCTTTATTGCTGCGGGAAGGCCAGTGTTGCATTGTGTCTTCATCAGAGCCTAAACATGAACAAAGAGGTGAACACATCACAGGCAGCTTAGAAGAGGTGCACAACTGTCATCATTATAGCAGCATCTGATTCCAATCAGAAGCTCAAGCTCCGGAACAGATTGTTAATTGACCTCAAATCGATTTATTTATAAGCAGCATATAAATACTAATGGTTGACAATGTAGTTGTAAGATGACATAAGGGCCTATGCAGTTGTTGTCTACAGATGTAACGCCACTTATAGAGCCTCTATAACTGGTGTATAAACAGGTAATAAAGGCTTGATAACATAATATAACATAATTGCAATCATATAATGGTACCCTCCCCTTAAAGCAGGGGTGGGGAACCTTTTTCTTCTCAAGGGCCATTTCAATTTTTTCAACATCCTCCGAGGGCCGCACAAATTATTGACCTCTGCTTAAAAATACTAAAATCACAGCCCATTCATTTGGCCTTTCTTTCATGCTGTGCAAAGAAAAAGCAACCTCTTAATGCACGTGCACGGTTGTGGCATGACCACCAAAGAGAAAGATATGGACACAAGATGTGTGCAAATGTATTTAGTTTCCTATCCATGTGGACATGATTTAAGTGACCTAACCTCCTCTAGGGCGGTCCAGGGGCAGACCGGAGGTTCCCCACCCCTGCCTTAAAGGATTGATACTTGTTACATGATAGACGCTTTTATCCAAAGCGACTTACATACTCAATACTGTGGGCAATCCCCACAGGAGCAATATGGGGTGAAGTGTCTCAGGGACACAACGACATGCTGACTGCAGTGGGGTTTGAACCTGTGACCCCCTGATCTGAACACCAACGCTCTATCCACTGCGCCACACATTATTATTTAAAAAGCACATTAAGGATATGTGGAATTGTCTATTGTTGTGAGTTATTATAGCTATGTCACTATATGGATATTTCAAACGAGGACTCACAAATGGAATAATACTCGCATACAAATTGATATATGAAAGCAATATAAGCTAACACTGTTGTGTTATGAGTCATCTAGGAAGTCTTCAAAACTGATATTCAAAATAAAGTGTTACTAATGACATTTGTTTTGTAAAATGATTAAAATATTGCATTTAGTCTTCTCAAGTACTGCTTAACAAAGTGGAACAAACAATCAAAATATGTCAAGGTCCCAGTGCCATTACACTGATCCCGCAGGCTACCAGTAGAAATGCTGAGGGCTAATGTGTGTTTGATTGTGTGTGTGTGTGTGTGTGTGTGTGTGTGTGTGTGTGTGTGTGTGTGTGTGTGTGTGCGTGTGTGTGTGTGTGTGTGTGTGTGTGTGTGTGTGTGTGTGTGTGTGTATGTTTATATGTGTGTGTGTGTGTGTGTGTGTGTGTGTGTGTGTGTGTGTGAGTGAGAGAGAGAGAAGAGCAGCTCAGTCAGTGGGAAGGTGGAGAAGTGGGAGGATGTCAAAGCCAATCAGAGGTTCATTTTGATAGCATGAGTAAAGTGTGTCACATTCCATCGCAGTGAGTGGTCAGAGTGGTGTGTGTGTGTGTGTGTGTAGTTTGTGCAGCAAAAACAAATGCTCTACAGATGCACTGGTACTGTATTTGTCGAACACACAAATAAACACACACACACACACAGGCAGAGCAGCGCGCATTAGTTCAGTTTCATTGATCTGTGTGAGAGGAACACTGTCGCTCCTCACTAATCCAATCATGTGGTTCCAATGGCCAGCGGCAGTTCATTACTCTCACATTTGGACTCTTGAAATGTGTTTAGAAATGATCAGTAGTCCACAATTGTTCTATGAATCTAATTATACACGACACTGATTGTGCTAATATACAGGTCAACAATAAGATGGAAATATGTGTGGACAGCCTCCTCTTTGTCCATAAGAGTGATCTGTAATTGTTGGTCGACTAAGATCTCTTAAGTCGATTTTCAATGTTTTTTTCATGCTGAATGGCCTGAATGAGCACATTTTATGGTTAACACCCAATTTAAAGTGGTGCTTTTGCAGAGAAGCTCACTTTTACAGATGTCGATTTTATCTACTAATCGATTATTCGACTAAATCTTAGATGTGTTACATGACTAAGAATTCCTTTAGTCGATATACTGTAGTACCTGCTTGAAATGACACACACACACCTTTTATTTCATAAAGACAATCACACAGGTTGTTACAGGTCGATTCGGCACTACAAATCCAAATCAAGGCACATGACAACTGTCTGTCTCAGGCACGTAGATCTCGCAGATGTGAATTGTTCAAATCCTTGGATAACAACAGCAATGCCTCCAGTAGAATGAAAACACAACCAGCCCTTTCAACAGACTACGCAACGTCTCGGAACAACCCCGGGTAAAACCGAATACAGCTACATGTACAGACAGCAGCATTTCCCACACATTCCTGGATGTGAAACAGCCCACTGCAGGCTCCACAAATAGAAATGCATGGCAACACCCATGCTGTGATAATTGCACATACACATAAACTTACCTGCTGTGACTCGAGAGACGCAGAGACAGCTGAGGACGAGCGGGAACAAAAAGCTCTCCATCTTTCTAACGCTCCCATTTACTCTGGCCGGGGGAGCTGCTGTGTTAACCGCCGAGCTGCTGAGCCGTCGGGTCTGCTGCTCGGCGTTCACGTCAGTTCATGCGTACTGTCTCGACTGGGGAGGAAAGGGGGAACGGCTGGTCTGCTGATTTCAGCACCTCGGACAGCGACACCTCCGCTCATTCAACAGCCAACAGATCCATTCTGATCATGGAGAGCTCTCGAGGCTGATGCCGTTCAGATGCGTCGGGGCTCCAACCGTGCTCCCCCCAAAAAAATCTCCCCGGTCTGCTGCTGCTGGAGGTGGTGCTCTGCTCGGCTGCAGACACAGTGAAACGTGCTGGCTTTGTATATGAGCGCCTGGACTGCCTGCCTGCCTGCCACACACTGAAGGAGGCGGCAGGACACTCCGGAATGCCTGGCTTAATAATTCATGCAGTACAAATCCAAAAAAAGGGATGCCAAATTAAAGTTGAACAATTTTCTATATTTGTCACCCTGATTCCATTGTTTGCTATTGTCACAGCCTATTTCACAATCATAGTGTGCAGACCTATTCCATTCCTCATTCCCCGAAAAAAAAAGCCCTCTCCTTCGATCGACTACTTCCTGCCTCATTCTCCTGCTTTACTTTCCCACTTGGTGAGCCACTATACTCTGAAATATTGCTGCCCACTCAGCGATTAAATATGCATACACCCGGCCCACGCAAACAAGTGCCTCTTGACTTCCCCACTGTCAGTTGGCGCACTCTTCCCGCGCACATTGTTCCACAGGAGCGCACAATGAAGCGAGAACAGAAGTGGATAAAGTCTGCATAGTTTACCTGGTGGTTTTTCCTGCAGCTTTCCCGGGATAAGTGGGAGTGTCCGTCCCGAGGCAGGAGAGACCCGCGCTGTCCCCTAAGCTGTGTCCCCGAGAAGTGTTCTCCTCACCCCGCTGTGCACCTCGATCACAGCCCGCTGCTCTGACGTGCTTCAGAGGGACGCTGTTGGAAGTGGAGAGGTTATTGTGCTGTTTTTGTGTGTGCATGCTTCACTCTCCTGTAGGCTTCTGCTGCTCTCACCCTCCATCTCTGTCTGTCTGTCTGTCTGTCTGTCTGTCTCTCTGTCTGTCTGTCTGTCTGTCTGTCTGTCTGTCTGTCTGTCTGTCTGTCTGTCTGTCTGTCTGTCTGTGTGTGTGTGTGAGAGTGAGGGGGTGAGGGGGTGTATACGTTCTGAAACAAACACAGGGAAATAGACAGGGATAAGATATGCGGGTTACACTAGAGAAAATGCAGGACCTGCATGCTGTAGGATCAATACATTGGCACTGACTCCTGTTTCTAACAGAGAGGAACTGTGTGGCTTTCCAGAGTACGATCCAGAGTTTTGGGAGAGTCTGTGAGCCCTAAGCACACAAGTCACGTCTTTCTTCTGTTCTGATGAATTTCGCCAGACACAAGACAACTGATCTACACATAGAACACAAACCCAGATCTGACAAACCTCATCTGCATCATCAAAAGCCTCTTTCACACATACAGAGGAGCTGTATGTAAGATGTCCCAGCTTCTGGAACAACATTCTGTGTATTTGACTGAAATGATCTGCAACGCAAGACATCTTTGCTACTGAAGTATTTTCATTCTCTTACATTTCTGCCCACAGCAACTGCAATACAAGTTCAGCATAAGCTGACATGGTTTTTGTCACCTAAATACATTACACAAATCACTTAAAGTCAACCCTTTTAAAAGTTATATAAATGTACATTCCATTTTAACTTCCTCACATTTCAAAAGCGCTGAGGGAATATCTATGATGGCATTATCAGACGATAGAGAAATTTTTTTTTTTGTTCTAGTTTATTACGCTTGAAGCTTTGGCTATGGTTTTGAGCTAGCGAGGCTAAACTGTTTAGCCACACGTTCGTCGTCGCAGTTGCGTTGTGGTTCTTTAATAAAAATGTGGCCTAAGAGTGCAGCATGTGACGGGCTCAGCGGTTAGACAGGCTAAAGGGCTTTTCTCTGAAACGCTTCACCAATATTGTACAAAGCCTCAAATCACAATCTCAAAGTTAACAGTGTTATGGTTCTCTCTCTCTCTCTCTCTCTCTCTCTCTCTACTCTCGTATAGGGCTCTCGTGACATCCGTTATCGTCTAGCGCTACGCTATACTCGTCTCCGGTGCTAACCGAGCATAGGATTGTCCATCCTCTCTCTCCGTCTCTCATATCTCTCTCTCTCTCTCTCACTCGACCGATTCGGTCTCTCCTCTCTCTCTCTCTCCTCTCTCTCTCTCTCTCTCTCTCATTCATTCATTTTCCCATGTTCTTCCATCTCTGGATATGTTGATTTTCTTGAGTAGAGACTGAGGAAAACACCACCTAAACTCATGTACTTTAATCATTCCAAGCCAAAACAACCTGCTGCATTGTCACCGGTCTACACGCTGGGGCTAAGGAGCTCTCAGGGATTTCTCAAAGTCCTGGGCAGAACCAAATGTTAATGGTGTTTAAAATCAGCACTCAGCAAACACATAACGGACTCAGCCCAAGCGAGTAATTTGCTCCAGGAAATTGTCTTCTACATTAAACGCTGATCAAGTGGAAAATCTGCAATAAATCTGATGTCTTTATGGACATTCCAGTTCATCTATGTTCCTGTGAGCTTCAACCCGGAGCGAGATGTTGTTTATCACAGTGTGTGTGTGTGTGTGTGTGTGTGTGTGTGTGTGTGTGTGTGTGTGTGTGTGTGTGTGTGTGATAAAATAAGCTCTGGGAGCAATAGTCACTGACTAGCTAGCTAGTTAGCATGCCAGCTTGCAGTTAACAACCAGGATTGGGTTGCACCAGCTATCCATAAAGCTATCACGAACGTTATATTTCTTTATAGCAGGTAGGTGTAGACTCACTTCAAATGACTTGGACTTGAGTCACATATTTTTTTAGTCAAGACTCAAAATTGTTGACTTCAAAATACTTTATTCCTTGCCAAAAATAACAACAATATACTGTACATTATATATAAAATACCTGTAGCTATAGGTTGTTTTATTTGAGTGACATTCAATCAATTATAATTATCAGGAAGCATTATCAAACCCCGTTTATACAGTTTTTCATGTTGCTATTTTACTCTCATATAGCAATACAACTGTTGGTTAAGGAAGCTCAAGTTTCATGTGACATATACAGTGTTCCGTCTAATCCAAAATTCGAATCACAGGTAAGCTTTACTCGGACAAAATACGTCTCAGGATAGTTTGTTTGACTCTTTACTTAAAGGTGGGGTAGGTAAGTTTCAGAAACTGGCTCGAGATATACTTTTTGTTATATTCCATGGAATGCTCTTAACATCCCGATAGCAATGAATATCTTGTGTGTGCTTTGTGCTTTGACAATAAATCCATACAAAAATGTCATCTGTGGAAGCCGTAATACTGCCCGGCTAAACGGATTGGATTGCCGCCCACTGCACGCACAAATGTATCTCGTGCCCTCATTGGGCGTGCATTGCAGCAGTACTTCAATGACTCGCCAGCAACAGGCGGCCACTTTCACCAGTCTGCTGACGTCATGTGCGCGTTCATGTGTGTTGGAGGAGGTGCTCTGTAAGGAAGTCTGAAGGAAGGGGCGGATTCTTTTCGGCTGTGTACTTTCAAATTTTAGTGCACTCGAGCCGGTTTCTGAAACTTACCTCAAATACAAACACATATTTTCACAGGTCAAAAAACGATGTTGCTCTGTGCTTCTTTCTCCTTCTCACACACACACAATCACCAGCAGCGGATGTAACGTAATCACAAACAGCTGCGGTCGTCTATGTCGTCAATTCCACATGGCTGGTTCAAATAAATGATATAATAGCACTACAACAAAGGATTAGAATATTAAAATATCTCAAACTATACATTTTAACATGGGTCCTACAATGTGGTTGCACAGGCTATATTTAGCAACAACTATTTTCTATGTATAGTTTATTTTTGAAATATATATTGTGGGAATGGATTGGAATTGAAATTGTATACCTTAAGTGTTGCCATGCGGCCTGAGAATATCAGGATACTAGAAGCGCTGCAGGATACAACTGAAGAAAAAAACACTTGGATTTCTTGCTAAATCTGCTGCCACCATGATGAAATGATGAGTTGGTTATTCAAAGATCAGCACATAGCCTTAATCCTGAGCCTCTGTTATGGTCCTTATGTTCATTTGTAGTCGATACAAAATGTAAAATCCTATGTACAGTACATTGCAGAAAAGGGGCATTCGTCCGTGGCTGTTGGAGACAATTCAGACATTTTGTTATGCATTTCATTTGAAATTGCTGAGGCATGAAGCTCATCCATTATCACTCGCAGTCACAAATCAAGAACTCCATCTGACCAAGCACTACGGCCACAGAGGATTATAAAAGAGTCAAGTCTCCAAGAACACTTGCTATTATCCACTGCCTGATACAGAGAATGAAACAGTGACTAGAACACCTCTGCATGAATATTTTACATGCACCAATATTTCCTGACGCGACATTGGAGTTTACCGGGACTTTTTCTGCATTTCTAAATGAGTTTGGATTATGAGCTCTGGCAGGTCGCTCGGAGGTGAGGACCAGGAGGGGATTTCTCAGAGATTGCTGAGGGGAGGAGGAAGCAGGGGGACAGCGGTCTTTGTTCCTGTTTCATCTTGATAGGATTGGGACTGGGAGAGGAGACATTCTGAGCTGTGACGGCCGGGGAAGGTGTGATTAAACCTGTGAGTGAAAGGGCAACACGTTATTTTGAAGATTGGCACACACTGTCGAGGCGTTCCGTGAAGCAGCTGGATGATTGAGTTCCTGCTCATAATCCCATTACAGCGCTGCAGATTCAGAGTTCATCTGTGGCTTTGTGGGAAGACACGCTTCTGTATACAATCTAAACTGGCAGCGCCTCACTGACTCAAAGTTTCTTATGGCAGGAAATGGATGATAAAGCTTTTAAATTGACCAAGAATGAAACAACAAGTGAATTTCCCTGTCAATGTGCTGAACAAATGTTTGCTCGTGTTTGATGCTTTAGTAATTCAGAGTATTTTTACCTGTCAGCATGATTTGTTGAAAAGTGGAACAGGTCACACTTGTTGGTTTATACAAACGCAGTGGCGAACCGTGTCTATCACAACTGGACCTTCTGTACACACGAAGTCAAATCGATTTTTTGTTTGTTTTTATCTGAGTGTTCCAGGGTATTCTCTGAATACCTTGAAGGCCCTGACGGTTCGCCACTGTACAAACGTAGAGCCAGGCAGTGTTAGATTATAGTGCAGTTTGTTTTGATGGCTAGTTATGTGCTATTTGGCTGTTTATTGATTAGTTAGTTAAATCCTGTGGTTATTACACAATGTTAATGTTTGAGTGCATTGGTGACCGTTAACTTGACCGTTAGTACAACCCTGAATTGCAACTGCACTATCGGAGTTGAACAACAGCATCTTGGAAAAGCTGGTTTGGCAAGCTTTCAATTTGTCGACATGTTAAAGAGGCCATATTACGCTCATTCTCAGGTTTTATATTTGTGTTTGCGCCTCTACTCTGACATGTTTACATGCTTTAATGTTCAAAAGGCAAGGCAAGGCAATTTTATTTATAAAGCACTTT